CAGCCCTCTGACCAATCAGCTATATTGACTAATATTAGTAATACCCTATATAACAGCAACTATTAGCTACCAATCGATCAATTCCTAATTTTAAATTTGCTCTCTCCTCATTAAATTTGCGCTCTATATCAGTTCCCTTAAAAGCCCATATAGTTTGACCTAATAATCTATTATTGCTTCTCTTTATTTTAAAAATAAATTTCCATTCAGTTTAGCCAGTAATTTAAATAAAAGCTAATAAATCTTGATGGCAATTTAACTTTAAGCTATCCGAGTACAACCTCTTATTAATTAATTTAGTCATATACCAAATCAATTAATTAATCAATTTACCATATGTGGGCAGTTAATACAATCAAATTAATCCAATAATTTAGACCCCCAATTAATTGGCAAAGAAATAAACAATCAATTAGTACACTCAATACCCCTTCCCAATTAATTAAGTCTAAAAGGACTTAGCAAATTTCCTACGAGGTAGCAGCTAGACAATTGTTGTAAGCAGCCAGTCTGTGGACAACTGGGGCCCAATATACCGTTAAGAACTCATTGGGCGAGGTGGTCCTGGGGGCGGGTAATAATTTGTGTCCTCTGAATCTCCCCACTACTATCACACTGGTGCTTGTCAATCCCTCTGGCCTCTCCAAGCTGGTGAGTTTCAGTTCTGCGACTCTCCGCTCCTATGCCTTTGTAGGTCACCAGACAGGACAGGAGTCCCCCATTGTTACTGACGCTGTTGCCTTCAATGTTGTTGTTATCAGCAGCCGCAGACCAGTCCACCAAGGTTAATGCTCCACCGATTGCTCCATGGCTCTCAGACTACACTGGGCAAACCTGACAGGGGTAGAGATCCCCCTCGGGTTCCCTGGCTGCTTTGCCAGTGAGCTTGGAGCAGCTTGGCTCATGTTACCATGGCAGTCAAAATAGAGGTCGCATTGGGCCAGTGGGGCAGTCAGTGGAACAGTCTTCAAACGGCCGCTGCCAGACACATCCAGGACATTGGCAGGGCTTCCAATGGACACCACGACTTCCCTAAATGTCCTCACCGTGGCCATTCCAGTCCAGAGGGTCCGACAGCTCATTTCAGCAGGCCTCTGGAAACAGTAAAATGCACTCAGTCTCTCCAGCTTTCACAGTTGCACAGAGATGTTAGGAATCCACAGGATCCACAGGTAGCTGTTAAAACTCCAAAGTTAAAATGCCTAACTCTGCAAACGGGTACCAGCATAATAATGTATGGGAACTGTAAACATGCCATTCTCCAACCAGTTCCCTGTCCACCTGACTGTCCTAGAGTCCAGACCACAGTCCTCTAGTCCCCATCAGAACATCATAGGGAACTCTGTCTAAAGCTTTACTGAAATCCAGGTAAACAACATCAACAGCATTCCCTCGATCCAGTAAGGTCGTCACTCGATCAAAGAAGGAAATGAGGTTGGTCTGGCAGGACCTGCTGGGGACAAATCTGTGTTGACTTCCCCAGATCTCCAAGTTGTCCTTTAGATGCTCTCAGATTGATCCCTTTAAAATCTGCTTTGCAGATTAATCCCTTTAAAAGTTCTTGTCACCGTATTTCCAAAAGGCTGTTGCAGAGCTGGAAAAAGTACAGAGGAGGGTGACCAAGATGAGGAAAGGCTGACTTGTCTTGGACTTTTCAGTTTAGAAAAGAGGTGTCTAAGGGGGGGCATGGTACAGGTTTATAAAATTATGCATGGGGTGGAGAGAGCTGAAAAAGAGAAACCTTTCTCCCTCTCCCAAAATACGAGAAGGCATCCAATGAAACTGATGGGCAGTAGGTTCAGGACGAACAAAAGGAAATATTTTACAGAGCGAGTGATAAAAATGTGGAATTTGCTGCCAGAGGATGTAGTGATGGCCACAGGAATAAAGAGGCTTAAAAGGGGATTAGATAGATTCATGGAGGATAAGTCTATCAATGGCTACTAACCATGGTGACTGAGGGGAACCTCCTCATTCAGAGGCACTAAGCCTCTGAATTCCAGACCAGGAGGCAACATTGGGGAAGGCCTCAGCCTCTATGCCCTGTTGTTGGCCGTCCAGAGGAATTGGTTGTCCACTGTGTGAGATAGGATGCTGGACTAGATGGACCACTGGTCTGATCCAGCAGGGCTCTTCTTATAATCTTACTTAGTAGCCTTTGATGTGAAACTTTATCAAAAGCTTTCTGGAAGTCTAGGTAAACAACATCTACTAGGTCACCCTTGCCCACGTTTGTTCTCTAAGAACTCTAAAAGACAAATCTGCCCTTACAGAATCCATGCTGATTCTTCTTCAGTAGCTTTTCTTCAGCCTACTGATTCTGTCTATAATAATGGATTTAATATCCATCAGTAAACTTTTAGGCTTATAATGCTGCCTTCTGTCAGTTGTATCTCTTCCTGTTAGAATTATGCTGCTTCTTGCTTCCATTTTCAGTTCCTTATCTTGATCCTATGGACTGTATTTCTAAATCTTAATAATAGCATATAATAACCCCTGGTTCTGCCAAAACCTAATGATGGGAAAGTCATACATGTTTTATACTATCATTTTAATTTGTGTAAGTATTTATTGTAAATTGGAGCCTGAACAACAGGGTGGAAATTGATGGAAGCAGTTATATAACTTCTTGATGTGAAGCTAGTCATGTAACCTCTTTTAGTGTTACAAGATGTAGAAACTGTTGTGTTTTTACTAACACTCACTGAGCCATCTGGGTGGTTGGATAAAATTCTGAACTTGCGTGTGGTCTAGCAAGCATTGTTCCCATGCAAGTCCTATTGAAATGAATTGAAACTGTCCAGTAGCAGTCCTTGATGGATGTTTCCAAAGTGTGCACCTATTGTTATCTTTAGACTGGCTTTATTCATTCAATGTTCAGTTAATCCAGAGGCACTGTAAATAAAGGTGTTATAATGTGGCATGTAAATCTTTTACTGACCTCACATCATAAGCACAATTTAGGGCAGTGACTCTATTACTACATTAAGATGTTATAATGAAAGAACGAAGTTTAAGAGATGTATTTCAGTAAGAAACCAAGTAGCTGTAATCAGTGTCTGTATACCACTATAAACCACCTGGGATATAAGAGAAAGAGGAACGAATGACTTATCCGCAGCTTTACTAGAAAACTATGAGGTTCTCTGAAAAGTTTTTTTTTTTATCAGACAACCTGTTTCAAGTATGCAGTTTGTCTGGCTAACTTCTAAACAACTTCAGAAAACTCAGTGGTGAAAAGTTAGCTTTGTAAATGTTAATTGACGCTTAGCAACAGGCACTAAACTTGAAGCATTGCTTAATATACCAAATGGTCATGAAAGAAATGCCAGGTTAGAGATGTAAAAAAAGAAATTCTACCCACCAGCTTTTTTTCTTTTTCTGTCAATGAGGAAGAGGGGATTAGTGTATTTGGCATAAAAATGAATTGGAGTGCTTTTGTTTTTTGTCATCAGTTGATCAGAAGCAAGAAGTAGCATATACTGCACTGTCTGCACTTTGAGTAGAAAAGATTAAGATTCCAGTAGCACCTGGAAGGCTAACAAAATTTGTGGTTGGGTATGAGCTCTCATGACTCACTGCTTCAGATATCTTCAGATATCAGTTGTCTGTAGAAGTGAGCAGTGCCTCATGAAAGCTCATACCCTACCACAAATTTTGTTAGTCTTTAAGGTGCTTGTTGTTGTTCAGTCGCACAGTCGAGTCCGACTCTTCGCGACCCCATGGATCATCTCCCGCCAGGCCCTCCTGTCTTCCGCCGTCCTCTGAAGTTGGCTCAATTTCATGTTTGTTGCATCGATGACACTGTCTATCCATCTCATCCTTTGCCGTCCCCGTCTTCTTTGACCTTCAATCTTTCCCAGCATCAGGGTCTTCTCCAGTGAGTGCTCCCTTCTCATTTGGTGGCCAAAGTATTTGAGCTTCAGTTTCATTATCTGGCCTTCCAGGGAACAGTCAGGGTTGATTTCTTTTAGGATTGACTGATTTGATCTTTTTGCAGTCCAAGGGACTCTCAAGAGTCTCCTCCAGCACCATAGTTCAAAAGAATCTATTCTTCGGCGCTCGGCCTTCCTTATAGTCCAACTCTCGCAGCCATACATGACTACTGGGAATGCCATTGCTTTGACCATGCGGACTTTTGTTGGCAGGGTGATGTCTCTACTTTTTATCATGCTGTTTAGGTTCGCCATTGCTTTCCTCCCAAGGAGCAGGCGTCTTTTAATTTCATGGCTGCAGTCACAGTCTGCGGTGATCTGGGATCCCAGGAACGTGAAGTCTGTCACTACTTCCACGACTTCCCCTTCTATTTGCCAAGGAGTGATGGGGCCGGATGCCATTATCTTAGTTTTTCTGATGTTGAGCTTCAAGCCCACTTTTGCGCTCTCCTCTTTTACCCTGAGCAAGAGGCTCTTTAGGTCCTCTTCACTTTCAGCCATTAGAGTGGTATCATCTGCGTATCTGAGGTTGTTGTTGGTGCTACTGGACTCTTACTCTTTTCTACTGCCCCAGGCAGACTAACATGGCTACCCATCTTGCACTTTGAGTGTCCTCACATTGGGAAAAAGATATTATACTGGTGCTTTGTTGGAAGCTGCCAGGTTGCAATGATTCAGAGCAGTTCAGCTATAGAGGAGAAGTTTACATTGTTGATAGGCATTGCAAAAATCACATCAGTGGTGATGGTATCATGATGAGGATGATAAAATTAGAACAATTTTGGGTAAACTTCTTTGGATAATACTTCCATATCTTACTAGGGTTTTTAAAAAAAATTATATCCCATATATATCAAGCTGTTCCTTTTAACGCCTTCTCAGAAAGATCTATTTATTTCAGTAATGTGTTTGCATAATTTAAGTATTCTCTAATGTTCTGTAGGAAGTCAAACGTTCTGTAAGAAGTCTCATAAAATAGATAAGTGAATTCAAAGCAACTGTACTAGGTTTGTCTTGGCTGGGTATGAATAAAGGAAGACTACAATAACATCTTTTTGTTTTCAGTTTGCTCCCCTGGATTTTATGGCCATCGCTGTAGCCAGGCATGCCCCCAGTGTGTGCACAGCAGTGGTCCGTGCCACCATGTGACTGGACTGTGTGACTGCTTACCTGGTTTCACAGGAGCCCTCTGCAATGAAGGTACAGATCATATTGCAGCCGTAGTAGTGGTAGTAGTAGTAGTAGCAGCAGCAGCAGCCAGTGCTTAACTGTCTCTTCTTCAACTGTCAGTCCCCAACTGTCATTCCTTAACTGACTCTCTCTACAGAATTCCATTCAAACTGCCTGTCACTCAAAGGTTCTCAGACTCTGTTAGGCATTCTCAGACTCTGTCCATCACAGTCATGTTTAAGCTTCGCGATGAAACTCTTAAGGAGAATTCTGGTTGAGCAGGATGCATGTTTGTTATATATTAAATGAATCCTCCTTATTCATACAAGTGCCAGAACACTAAATAACAATCTGTAACAATGTTTTGTCTGAATATGGTTTTAAAAATAAGAGCATGCTTTAAAAAGGTTAACACACATATTTGAGCATTGTACTCTTATCAGCTACCAAGACAATGTTCCACTGGTCTGTGAATGTGGTCATCTGGCCACCCTCTGAGTCATTTTGCAGACCTGGGTAGAAGAGGGTATGAGAAAATAACAGAAGCTGATATCACTTCAGAGAAATTCTCCCTCAAAATCTGTGCCCTTTAAGACTCACAGAGGACAGAACTACAAGAGTACTATTTAGGTATCCAGAGATAACTCCAAACCTGTCACTCTTCTCTCCGCTACTTACATTATTTGGGACTCCAGTGACATAAACAGGTGGCAGTGGTGGCCAGGAGTTTCTTCGGCCAGCTTTGGCTGGTTATCTGTCTGTAGCTTTCCTGAGTAAAAAAGATCTTGGACTCTGATGCGTGTCCTGGTAACCTCTAGGTTAGATTACTATAATGCACTGTATGTGGGGTTGCCCTTGAAGAATGGCTGGAAACGTCAGTAGAGAATGCTGAACAGAGTGGGTCATAAGGACCAAATCACTCCAGTCTTGTTCCATTTACACTGACTCCAGTTTTCTCCCCCAGGCCCAATTCATGATGCTGCTATTGACCTTTAAAACTCTATATGGCAGGGAACAGCAAACCTTAAGGACTGTGTGTTCCTGTATGAACCTACTGGACCATTATAGTAACCTTAGTATAGAAGCTAGATAGGTGGCACCCTGAGAAAGAGCCTTCTCGGCCATGGCACGGAAAACTGTGTCTCCTCAGGCAGTTCCCTCTCCAGGGAACCTTATCCTTGTATTCTGCCCAGGGGTGAAAACTTTGTTTCATTTGGTGTTCCCTTACTGATCACTCCTGCTATAGATTACCTGTGTGTGTGTGTGTGTGTGTGTGTGGTTTTAAAGTTGATTTTTAATGTCTTTTTAGCTATTTGTTGTATAAAAGGCCCTAAGTGGGATGAAAATGTTTTAAACTAATTAAATAAATAAATATCCCATCCATCTGCAACAAACCTGTGAATCAAAGGATGAATTTAAAAATTGCTCAGCATCCAAGACAGCCTGCTGACAACAGCTGAGAGATGAATCACTACATGTCCAGTATAAAAGCTGGACATGGTGGACATAGGTTACATTACAATAAAACAATATACAAAATCTGTTCATTTATGCGATGTGCCTTCCCATAGGTCTGTTGGATGTTCACAGGGACATAACCATAAGAACATGATATAGTTGAGAAGGGCTGAAGGGAAGGATGTGGGGGGAAAGGCAAGGGGAGCAAAATAGACAGGCATCCAAAGAAAAGCATGCTGATTGAAGCAGATTACCTAGGGAAGGAAATGAGGAGAAAGCATGGGGAGAGGAAGTGACGGTGTGGCATGGTCAGCAGAGGAGCTTAATAAAGGAGGAGGGAGGAAAATGGAATCCGAAGGAACTGGAAATTGAAAATCTGTGCAAAACAAAGGAGCCCAAGGGATGGTACAAGCAAGGGATAGAGGAAAGGAAGTTTGAATACAGCCAACTGGGAACAGCAAAGGAAAGCTCCCCTTCTGCCTATCACCTGTAATCGTGACCATTTTCCCATCACTGAGTGGGTGTTTCCCAAATATACCAATATTTTAAGTGAAACAAAAAAGAAACAAAACTGAGAAAGTTCTAAGAATGCAAAACTGATTAATCCAACATTTGATTTTTGCAGTCTGTCCCAGTGGCAGATTTGGGAAGAACTGTGCAGGAATTTGCACATGCACTAACAACGGAACTTGTAATCCAATTGACCGGTCTTGTCAATGTTACCCTGGCTGGATTGGTAGTGACTGTTCTCAGCGTAAGTACCTATATTTTCTTGGTTCAGATTTCTTGAAATCTGACAGTGAAGATATGCTTTATAGCTAACTGAAAAGCTATAATGGCTACTTGTTACCATTTCAAATACAGGATTGAGAAATATTTGCTGTACAATTTTTAGATAGCAAACTCACTGCTGGAAAATTCAGACATCATAATGCACTTCATAATGTACCCACTTGTATATCTTCCACAATAGTGCATTAAATTGGCTTCTGACAATTAATGGTTCTTTGTTGGATGTTAAAAACAAATGCCTTCCTACGTTTTTTGTATAATGACATGCCATGCTTAAATCAAGCAATGAATGGCAGTTGTAACACAATGCATTCTCAAAATCTAAGTGAGAACATTAAAGTAATTCTTTCAGCTTTTTACATGGACTTCTGTATTTCCTTAGAATGCTCTAGCAAAGGTGCACTAAATGAATCCAGGCTTGCCTGACCAAAGACATAGGCTCAAGTGGTAGAGCGGCTGAGTGCTGTTCATGTGCTTTGCACAATAAACACGGATTTCCTACTGTGCTTTAAGACTGCTTGAATCAGTTGCCAATGGAATTAAGTAGATATGTGACTAGGTGGCAGCTGCAAGCTTTTGAGAGTACAACCTTAATTACTGTTTAGATGCATCGCTTCAGCAGAGTTTGCATGAGTTTTAGCCAGGACTGAGGGTGAAAAAAACCTGTTGCTATGAAACTCCTTGTAATGTGGCACATTGGTTCACATAATTTGTGGATTTACTAGCACAGTTTAACTGGCTGAATCCTAGTTCTGGGCAACATCTAGATTATTCAGAAACTTTTAAACACAATGGTTTTCATAATCTGCATTACTTATAACTAATCTTGTTCACTTTTTAAATTATAGATGCTTATGTATGACTCCAATAGTGCTGGATTTTCATGCTGTATATTAAGATTGTGTTTTAAAAGATCTCATATGACCTACAATCAAAAACATATATATTAAAAAGACAAGTACTAACTGATTGGTCAAAATGGTTTTTACAGATTATTTAAATGTTTACTTCTATAAATTAACACTTTGCCTTTGCTCCTTAAGATTTTTTAATTTAAACGTTTTAGGATTTTTAAAATTTGAATTCTAGTATTAGCTTGAAGCATGCCTGTTTTGCTTTGCTTCTGAAGCCCTTCTTTATTCCTTGTTAGATTATGATTCTTATTTTGTTGCTTATGGACATTTTAAAAGAAAAAAAGGACAGTGGAATGAAGAGGAGAGGTCTATTAAGGCTGACCTTTAGACCAGGAAGAGGAATTTTATTAGACTTGTGTAAAGGTTTTCAGTTCTTGTTGGGAAAAAAGATTCCGTGTGGCCCTCATGAAGCCTCTGAAAGATTTTTGTTTATGTGAATTGACAGTCCCTTTTTTCCTAAATCACCAGCCCTTTCCCCCACATTTTTGGGTGATAAATATGTAATTTAAAATTTTAACAGTAGAAAAAAAGAATCAGATCCAAATTATCCTTTTTTCACTTGCATTTCTTCACAATGTTGTATTTTTAAATGTTTTTAAAAATTGTCTAATAAAACTTTAGTTGGTCAATTGCATATATATTGCCATAGCCCTCATATCTGTACCAATCAACATAGTACTGCTTGGTTGCTTTGTTGTTCTATAAATAATTAGTTATTACATGGAAAGTGTTATTGATCAGTACATTGATGAAAACAGAGTCCTTAGGCTATATTCGTGTTCCTAACCTCATAATTAAGTTCTGTTGAAGGCCTTTGCACACTAAAAATGTGCCACTGTGTAATAGAGTCCATGATTTCCATGGTAGGAGGTGGTCCCAGTAGACCTCATGATCAGTTTGATACTGACTTCAGTCCACATTCTATGAAAATAAAAGGGGAGTTTCCATGTCTTTTCACTGTACATTAGGAAAAGTGGATCTCCAAGTTGCCCATTAAGGAACACTTTGGACAGCGTTTCAAGAATCAGTTGTGAATCCTGTGTTGTAGAATCTATTTTGCCCCCATGTTCACTCTGCAGTTGTCCATCAGCAGATGATACGTGGCTAGATGATGGCCTTTCTTTACCATCACATGGGTGTGCTATGTGAGCAATTAGAGGAGCAATATAATTGAAGTTCTGCACACTCACAAACTTCCTGTGTGTTTTGTTGTTGTTTACTCTTCTACTAGTAGCAAAATATCATTAATAGAATATGGGAACCCATCATTGTGACTCACTTGTTCATGGTGTATGAACATATTTAAAGCCTTGGTTCTCAGCATTCTGTGTGAAATATATTCATCCATATGAAATATAATCATCCATTCACTGGAACTAGTAACACATGGGAACAGTGTGTGTAGTGATTAGAGTGCGCTTCACTAGGCTCTGGGAGATCCAGTCTCAAATCTCCACAGTTCTTTGAAGCTTATCAGGTGACCTTGGATCAGTCACTCTCCCCTGGCAGAATCTGTGTACCTAATTAGGTTGTTGTGAGGACAAAATGGGGAAGGGAGAACCATATACAGGCCCTGAGCTCCTTAGATCGAGTGAGATCAAAATATACAAAAAGAATATTTTGAAGGGTATGCTGTGTTCATTGTCTGTAAATCAAATGCAAAGCTTTCAACAGCTACTGCACATACAAGGAACAAAGTTCCACAGAAGTTCTTTCAGAATCGTGTAGATTCTCTGAGGGTCATGCTGAGCCAGGCACAGTGCTTTGACCATGGCATTTCAAGACATAAATGCAAAAAACAACTGGAACTTCTCATTATTTCACTTGTACAGAGCTGTTTTCCAAAATTTGTACAGGTAGGCTGCAATCCTACAAACATTTTCCTGGGAGTAAACCCAGTTGACTAAAACGAAATTTTCAAGTAGACCTACTTAGAATTGATCGTATAATTTCATATCTTAATGAATAAGTCCTAGCAAATACAGTCTGCATCCATGGAAAATCAAGAAAATATCACTTTAAAATTGCAGCCAGTTACAGCAGTAAAGACAAAGTTGAATACAGCCAGTGATGAAACAGTATGTTTACATTTTCTTGCTGTAAGCAGCAAAATCCACAATGGCAGTTGTTGATTTATTTATTTAGAGAATTTGTATACTGCCTCTCCAGAACCTGCTTCAGGCTACTCACAGCTGAAACAATCAAATATCAACATGCAAATAAAACCAAGACCATAAAATAGGTCAATAAATACATGCCAGGGCATAAAAACAGCACAAAACAAACAGAGCAGTCTAAAATTATACTGATAAAACAGTCCTTAGGCTCTAAACAGATCACAAAACAGCTTTAAAAAAGATAAAACCACTTAATTAAAAGCCTAAGAGAAATGTTTTGCCTTGGTACCTGAAGGAATGTAAAGTAGGTACCAGGCAAACCTCAAGGGTGAAGTGCCACAGCCAAAAAAAATCCCTGTCTCTAGTTGCCATAGGGGCACAGAGAGCAGGGCTCAAGAAGACAATTTTAATTGGTGGGCTAGATTTAATGTTGTGAAACTGTAATGATTGTACTTTAAAATAGCCAATGAATATTATTTACATGACACACATATATTTGAGTTTGAGTTGTAGAGTTCTACAAAGCTGTATCAAATATAACTATCTGATTTGTTTGGATTGTTTCAGCTTGCCCTCCTTCCCATTGGGGCCCCAATTGTATCCATACCTGCAATTGCCACAATGGAGCTCGGTGTAGTGCCTATGACGGGGAATGCAAATGTACACCAGGGTGGACTGGTCTCTACTGTACCCAGAGTGAGTCCTCCCTAATATTTACTTGTACGGCTGTGTGATGAAAATGTTTAGTAGAATAAAACTTGTAATAGTGGAACTGCTGCTGATAGTCACAGGAGAAAAGTATATTTATTTTAATACGTTCACCATTGGGTAAGAGAACCAGGATAGGAGACCCTTCATTTCTGTCCCAAGATCTCCATCCTGAGTGTGGGTATGAAGATTTCACAGTTCTTGTGAAGACAACAAAAAGGAGGGAGACGTTCCAGATCAGTCATCACATTCAATCCGATGCCTATGTTATAGCCATCATATAGAAACCACTAGAAAAGCTTTCAGATACCAGTGGCTCTCTGCAGTAATTACATTAGAAAGCTGCTTACATGGATTACCCCATTTGTACGAAAAGTTTCTTACCACTATCAGTAGGAATTGGTAGGGCTGGCATAACAAAGTTTGAGTCCAGTGGCACCTTTAAGAACATCAAAGTTTTATTCACGGTATAAGCTTTCATGTGCAACCACACTTCCTCAAATACCTTCCTCAGATACAGATAGGTATTTGAGGAAGTGTGCTTCCACATGAAAGCTTATACCATGAATAAAACTTTGTTGATCTTAAAGGTGTCACCGGACTCAAACTTTGTTCTGCTGCTTCAGACCAACACAACTACCCCACCTGAATCTAGTGGTGGCATTTAACTCAAAACAGATGTGTAATCTACACAATGAGCAAGTCCTGTGAAAAATCTATTATCTCAGGAGAAATGCACATTAGAGTGCATTGGAAGCTCTGGATCTAATGGGGTTGGATCTGTCTGATTCTGGAAAAAACAACAATCTAAGAAACACAAGATTTTAAAATATCAAACTGTGCTGTAGATTTTAATTAACTATGCCCTGTGCAAATGTTCTTCAATTATAAAAGTTAAATAACTACTTAAAATCTCATTTTTTAACCTTAAATGTTTTCAATTATGAAGGATATAAGAAAATAACTACAGCAGTGAAGGCTGTAATAGACTAATAAACATTGGCGACCTCATTCTGTTGATAAATGTCACATTGATTGATGTGTTCTTTATCACACCCACTGAGTTAATTAATTAACTGATCATTGTATATACTTGACTGGCAATCTCCTTGTAGTCAACTTTGTACATTAGCAATTTTGGATCTTTTGCATAAGATCACTATGGCCAGCCTAAAAACAAAAATCAAGCCTTTCTCTTCTCAAACTACTGATGCCAAGAAGCAGGACGTGTCTTAGAGGGGTGTTCTGTCCTGGTCAACCATCAGCTCTCAAGGTTCTTTTCTTTCCTAATTCTAAGTAATGATCTCTTTACATACAATAGGTCTTTTTTCCAGACTGAAATGGGATCTTTGTGTGGGGCTAGGTCACATTGTGTGATTTTTATTGTTTTATGTTTCAGGATCTCCTACAGAGAATATGCATCCAAAGATCCATTCATTATTCACAAGCCACCCCCCCCCCCCCCCCCCCCCCCCTCTTCCTGCTTGAAAAAAATTATTTAAATTTTACTACTTGCATTAGCCTTACGACTTATCTTCCATTAATATGATTGATTTCCCACCTATCCATATAATCTCCTTCAAATGTTATCATGTTGAATCACCAAACAAATAATTTAATTCTTATGTGGGTGATATGGCTTTGACCTCCACATTATTAAAAATAACAATTTTTGAAATAGATTGGTTTATCTTCTTTTTATTCTTTCTACTGCAGGATGTCCTTTGGGGTTTTATGGAAAGGACTGTGCATTAATCTGCCAGTGCCAAAATGGAGCTGACTGTGATCACATCTCAGGGCAGTGTACATGTCGCACAGGATTCATGGGGAAGCACTGTGAACAAAGTAAGCTGGAAGGTTGTGGCACACACTGAAGAGGAAATGCACAAGTGCATCAGATCTTTCTAGCCTGGGACAGCTGCAGGATCTACATTCACTCATGACTGACCCATTACAAGCAATGGGACTAAAACGCATAGTTAAATCCTTCAATGGGATTAACAGAGCAAGCCAAAACAGAATTACATCCTTCTAAACCCATTGACTTCAGTGGATTTAGAAGGGTGCAACTCTGCTTAGGATGGCAGTGTTGCAGCTAATTTTTATTAGATTGTGCTCAAGATTTTAAAATTTAAAAATGAGACTACCATTGAAGATTAATATCAATATAATTTTAGTTTTGTATTTATTCTTATTTATTTACTGTTCTAAAATCTTTGATATGCTGAGAATATGGAAATCACAATATATATAAAGTTACTAGACAAAGGACTGAACTTCAATCTGAGTATAACACATATAACTAAAATAGTAATTTTATAAAATATGTGAGGAAAACTGGGAAAATACTTTTTTTCTACAAGTTTCTCGTGATATCTACATATACTTTTCTCGCCAATTTACAGAGTGGGTTTTAGCAGAATTTTATAAGAGCAGGGATGCCACTCTGCCTGGCAGTGGATCAACTTTACTGTTTGCAAGCATGTACTCTGTTTGATCTGCATTTATGACAATATTTTAAATGTATCCATGGGGCTAATATTCTATGGGCCTGGCACGATGAAACATTGCCACCTGCTGGTGATAAATAGAATCTGCAACATTTCAGGTTGCGGCGGTGTATATAAAAAGATTCAACAGTGATTAATCCTAAGAGATTTCAGTCTACACATGCCAGGATTTCAAAGACCTGTATGCCAGATTTATCAAGAAAATGTTATTTAAGGTATATATTTATCTTAAGTATTATTTAAATGCAAGAACATGTTAAAATGTGTAGGTCTAGATCTGGGAAACCACAGAGTATTTAGGGTTTCCATTGTTAAGTGCATAATTTCAAATTTTTCTGTGAATACTGCAGTGTTTTCTGACAATTGTATAGTTCCAGTTCTGCACAGATCATGCTAACTGTCTGTTATACTGAGAATTTTCAGTTTACCAAACACAGAGTGCAATGGCTTGAAAGGCAAAACAGACATTTGTTGCATGTTATTTTGCAGAGTGCCCCCCAGGGACATATGGCTATGGTTGCCGACAAATATGTGACTGTCTGAACAACTCAACGTGTGACTACATCACAGGGACCTGTTACTGCAGTCCAGGATGGAAAGGAGCAAGATGTGACCAAGGTAGTAGTTTCTGAACAGAGCAAACGAAAAACAAACTTTGAATTGTTTATACTTTATACAAGTATAAAGCAAGCATTTCAAAGAAGAGGGAACTAAAAACTATGACCACTGTTAGCTGTTCCAAATCTGGCATCAGTATAGGGTTGCCAAGTCCTTACTGCATGTAGAGCAGGGGACTCCAGCGCTGCTCCAGGAGTCCATGTGCGTGCGTGCTTCGCGCACGTGCCGCAATTACATCACCCGGAAGTGACGCAACCACGTCGGGCACGCCGGGGGTGGGGGCACAATCATCCGAGGGAAAACCATAGAGTTTTCCCTTGGATAACCGCGCCCTCGCCCCCAATGCACCCAACGCAACTGCATCACTTCCGGGTGACGTGCTGATGCCAGGCACGTTGCGTGCTTTGGGGGTGGGGTTCTCCGCCGGCGACAGGTAATGGGCCTCTTGGGTGGGGGGACTTGGCAAGCCTACATCAGTACAAGGAAAAAGAAAAAATACTTTCAGGATGCCACTTCATTATGATTCTGCATGATACTTAGAGCATCATTACAGTTCAACCATAAGCAGAGCTGGTGGTGGTGGAAAGTGTCATCAATTTGCATCCGGTAGGGTTTTCAAAGCAAGAGACAGAGGTAGTTTGCCATTGCCTTCATATGCATAGCAACCTTAGATTCCTTTGTAGTGTCCCATCCAAATGTTAACCAGGGCTGACCCTGCTTAGTTTCCAAAACCTGAGATCAGGGTAGACTGGGCCATCCATCTTTCTAAACCAATTGAAATCAATGGACATAGGGAGGTTTAACTCTGGTTAGAGCTGTACCACTAGTCTCCTTCATGATACACCTGAGAAAATATTCAGGGATACCCCTGATGTCTTCTAGGTAACAGTGTAAGAAATAACTCTCTCTGGTGTCTCCAGTATTTCATATACTTTGTGTTGCTTAATTTCACTTTTGCACAGTATAATTTGTACTTCATTTAGTTATATGAAATTTATCTTGTACCTTTGTCTACATGGTAAAATAGTATCTTTAATTATATAATTCTAAATGCTTAAAAGGCAGCATTTAGATAAATAATGCTATATCTACAGGGTTCTGAAAACTGTATGGACAAGGTGGAAGGTATATAACATCTTGAATTACCTAGATAATTGATTAGAATCATTAAAACCTCACTTTTGGGTTTGTTTAAAAAGGAGGTTGCTAGTGTGCATAGCTGCAGAGAAAAATATGAAAATACTTTGACATTTTTTAATATAGAAAATGGTGTCCCGATCCATATTTTCCAGTCTTTTTCTTTAAAAAAGCATAGCATTTCAAGTTCTTGCACAGATTGTATGACTAAAAATAGCAAGAAGAATACAACAAAAAGGACATGCATATTTGCCATACAGCAAAGCATAACACTTCAAACAAATGTATGTATTATCATGGGTTTCAGGGAGTATTCTTAAAATGTATCCTAAATACACTGCTTGTGTTTCAGGGAAGAAAGTGAATGTAAATGTAAAAACATAGTAATTTATCCTAATTGGTTTTTAAAGCATAGCATTTCAGAGAACCATAGCAACAGCCATCTGATTTGACCATGCTTAAATTAACATATACAGATAAATTTTACACATCAAAAGCTGTGTTTTTCATTTCTATTCCATTCCTTCTGGTCATTTATGGTATATTTTTTCATCTTTTCTTGTCTTTCAGCTGGAGTAATCATAGTAGGAAATTTGAACAGTTTAAGCCGCACTAGTGCTGCCATCCCGGCTGATTCTTACCAGATTGGAGCTATTGCTGGTATCATTATTCTTGTCTTGGTTGTCCTCTTCCTGCTAGCACTATTCATCATTTATAGACAAAAGCAGAAGGGAAAGGAAACAAATATGCCCGCAGTTTCTTATACACCTGCCATGAGGGTCATCAATGCAGACTACACCGTTTCAGGTAGGAACTTGGTAGTGTGAGTCATAATTGCGTCTCTGCTAAGCACAAACATTAGAAAAGAACAAGTTTTGTTTCCTCTGATTTCCACAAATATCTGTCTTCTCCCATATCAGGAAAAAATTCTATGCATTTTCATGTCTTTATAGCATTCTCTGCATTAGCAAGTCCATGGTGACAGAGAACTTTTGCTGTCAGGATGCATGAAAATCTAGTTTAAGTCCCCTCCCACATGCTCCATTTCAACCAACATTTCTCTATTAATCACCAATTTCCTCCCTATTAATTATCCGCATTAATAGATACCAAGCAACACTCCCCATCAGGAAAGTAAATTCAACCATTATGTCAGATCATGGTTTTAAGGAAAACTCTGGTTCACCTTTAACCATGGTTAACATTTTTGCTAATAAACTAAATGGTGGGTGAAGGGGCAGGGAAACCACTGGAAAAGTGGACATATTCCTGACTTTGGCTCCCAATTAGCTAAAGATAGCATAAGATCCCCAAAGATAAATTTGTTAATTTAATTATTACTTCATTTATACCCCACCTTTCATCCCAGTGGGGGACCCAAAGTAGCTTACAGTGTTCTCCTCTCATCCATTTTTTCCTCAGTCATGGCACTTCATCTGTGGAATGCCCTTGAGGCTTGCCAGGTGCCTACATTACTTTCTTTCAGGTGCCAGGCCAAAATTTTTTGCTTACCCAGGCTTTTAATTAAAGGGTTGATCTTTTAAAATCCTTTTATAGTGTGCTGTTAACCTGAAAACTGTTACATTCAGTTTAAGCTGTTCAATTATTTGTTTTTTATTCTCAAGATAGGGGGTTTTAATGCTGGGTTTTAATTTGTAACTTTTAATGTTAAGTTCTATTACGTTGTTCTGTAAGCTACTTTGGGCAGGTTCCTTAGAAGAGGTGCATGCCAGCAAACAAAAAACCACTGTGATAAAATTGACAATGACACATTTAATAATTCTGTGAGCATCAATTTGTGAAGCTATTAATCTTACAATATAGTTAGAGAATCCTGACATAAGCAAAGCAAAGTCCAACATAATCATATCCTCGATGAGCACACCGGTTTTTGCACTCATTTCAGCAATCTTCCTCATGAGTAGTCTTATAAAGTTGGAAGGTGTCAACCTCTAGATTCAGCCAGTATAACAACATGCAGCTGCTTGGAATCCATCAGATAGTTCCTTAAGAACTGCTTTCCAGTGTGAGAAGTGGGGAGCATTGTCAGTCTATTATTAAAAGAAGGCTTTCAGCCAGATAGATAAGAAACGCTGAAATGCTACTCCCTAATAGAGAGCTGCCAGCCAACAATGTGAAACGGAGAGCAAATGCCAGCCAATTTAAAGTAGGTCTGTTGCCACATAAAAATTTTGGATTGGCTGCTACGACTAGAAATTTAGTAATTGGCTTGCTCCTATTCAAGTACTTGCAATGGAACGGAAAGTAAGTTTAAAATTATTCTAGTTAAAAATGATAACAAAACTATTCAGCTTCATGTCTTTTCCCACTCCTCATAACTATGCTTTTACAGGATAATTTAACTAAGAAGAAAATAAGAAGCTATACTGTTTTAAAAAGAAACTAAGCTGAATCTAGAGGTTGACACCTTCCAACTTTATAACACTACTCATGAGCAATGTTCCCTCTAAGATGTTGAGTCTTGTGAGCAAAAATTCTACTTTGTGAGCTACTGGCATTCAAGTTGTGAGCCAGCGATTTGGCTACTGCACAAATTAGTTTGCTCTGGAGCCCTCCTTCCTGAGCTAAGACAAAAATGTGTGAGCTGGAGGCTAAAAAACTGTGAGCTAGCTCACACTAACTCAGCTTAGAGGGAACACTGCTCATGAGGAAGATTGCTGAAATGAGTGCAAAAACCGGTGTGCTCATCGAGGATATGATTATGTTGGACTTTGCTTTGCTTATGTCAGAATTTTCTAACTATATTGTAGGATTAATAGCTTCACAAATTGATGCTCACAGAATTATTAAATGTGTCATTGTCAATTTTATCACAGTGGTTTTTTGTTTGTTGGCATGTATCTGCACACTGTGACCCCTTCTCTGCCTTTTTTGACTTGATTTTTCCTTGGGAGAGGTGGCACAAAAACTCCCTAAATTAATAAACAATCTTGTGAAATAGTTAGGCTGAGAATGTATGATAGGTTCAAGGTCACCCAGCAGTTTCCATGACAGAGTGGAGACTCGAACCTGGCTGAAAGATCATCTTTAATACAAAGAAATGATGGGGAAATTGGAAACAGCTAAACATATGATGACTGAAGAAAGACAGGAAGGATTTCTTCAAGTTAAAATTTAAAAAGCTTGCTTCCATCATTTAGCAGAACAGGCCAGATTTTGAGAACATAAAAATGTAGAATTTGTTGCTAATCATCTAAACCCATGTTTTGTTCTGGAAGAGCTCTTGTACAGTTCTTGAGGTCAGTGGCAAGGACAGGTATGCAAGACAGGTTAGGTTTTTAGGTTCTGCCTCTCTCTAAGAGCTAAGCTTCCAAGCCCTCACCGGGGGCAGGGGAACCCCCGCTTCAGGACCCCTCTTCTCTCCACTGATCAGCTGGCTGGTGGGGGACTTACTGGAAGCAAAAAGAATCCTTATCCCATCACTGGTGTCATGGGGTTGCTCTGGTATTTGGGCAAAAAATCTATGGTAAGACAACTTCTATCATAGAGTTTTTGCCCAACTACCAGAGTGTCCCTGCATTGCCAGCAACACCAGCCTAGGCCTCTCTTTGTTCCTGGTAAGTCCTCCTCACCCTCTGCTGGTTGCTAGGGGAGTACCTGGCAGCCCTACTGACAGCAACCAATGGGAGCTGATAGAAGGTTGATAAGAGGCTAACAGTTAACCTTCCCAAGACACTGGGGATATTTTGGCCCCCAGAACCCATGGGAAAAAATGGTTTACCCATCTAAAGCTTTCTACAGGCACCAAACTCCTGTTATGCTTTCTTCCCAATGAACTGTAGTGCCCTGAAGTCCCTCTCCTCCCTCCCCACTGCCTTTCTTTTTTAAGTTTGAGTTTTCTCAAAAGGATTTACCCCCGATTCTGGCCCCCGATAGACTTGGCTTGAAACTGAAATTACTATGCACAGTCGTAATTGGGATTCTAATGACCCCCAACAAATATTGAAACATTATTTTAGCACTGTTCCCATGTATAAATAGATGGACCAACACCTATTATCTCCATTTTATAGGAAGGTGGAGCAAACAGCGAAAACTAAAGTTTCTCTCCTTAACTTATATCTATAAACAGTTCTTGGTTTTGAGTTTTTACAGCACTTTTGGAATTGGGAGTTGAAATGACCTCAAGGAAACCAGTGTTTGCAACCTGAATTGTTGTGTTATATAGTAGGAACAGGTAAAAGCTCAAATTGAACTGTAATGCAATTTTGGAAATGGGGTTATTCCATCCCCCTGCAAGACAAGCCTGGACATGTTTGCAGGTATTCTTTGAACCATTCAGCCTGGAACTTCAGATGATCCCTAGCCACTGAGCTGATTTTGTTGTGCTCTATCAAAGCTCAAATTGAACTGTATTACATTTGGAAAACGAGGTCATTCTATCCCCCTGCAAGACAAGCCCAGGCATGTCTGCATTCATCCACTGAACTTCTACACATTTTCCAGACTTGAAGAAGACATTCAGCCTGGAACTCTAGATGACCCCTAGTCACCTCTCCACTAAGCTGATTGTTTTCCTTCAAATTTTTATTGCTTTCTTAAAAATAAACAGTTTTACAGATTCCCAACTGTGTCTTATGCTTTAAAAAATGGTGGGGTCAGTTTGACCCCATTTACATTTCTGTGGGGGTTTGATGTTTTCAATGAGGGGTATTTTCAACTCCATTTCCAAATGTTACTCTTCTTTGTCCTGCATTGCTGAAGGAAGTTACTCTTGAGGCCTGATTTTTTTTTCTCAGTAGCTAAGCCACAATTGAGAGAACTTCAGGTTTCCATTACTTTTTGTGGTCACTTTGACCCCAGTGCCAAAGTAGTGTAGACTTTTTTTTGTCTTGGGGGGGGGGGTAAACAGCTGTTTGTTCAGTTAGAGTCAGAAGTAAGAAGCAGTAAACTTGAGCCAGCATGTAGCAGGACAGCAGCCTGCTGCTGATTGGGTAGAAGTCAATGTAACAAAGAGTCCCTAATGCCTGAACAAAACTATGGTTCAGAAGTTCAAGTGTGGAGAACCTGTGTAAAAATCTACCTGATTCACTCCTCTGATGTGTTTAAGCCATAAATTATTTATATGTATATATATTTACTTGGATATGAATAAATGCCGGTAGTGTGTGACTGAAGTAGTGGTTGAATCCCATTCCCAGTAGCTCTGTGCAGTGTCTGAATGTGGGGTGACTGTTGAAAGGGATTGGGCTATCCTGTTTGGTGGTGTTTCGGTGAGTGAGAGGGAGGATCTGGTGTGTGAAAGGGTTAGGGCTCTCTATATAGTTTAAAAGAGGCGAGACAGATGGTGAACTGTGACTGCCTGACCTACCTATAACCCTCAACCTGTAGGACAGAGGTTGTCCAGGGTGGTAGGTTCAATAATGGAGTAAAAGGGGTCACAATAGGCAATAATGGCATTGCTTTTACAGATTTCACTTGTAATTGTTTTTCAGAAACCATTCCTCACAATAATGGTGGAAATGCTAATAGCCACTACTTTTCTAACCCAAGCTATCACACTCTAACACAATGCTCAACAAATGCCAACAACATGGACAGGATAACTCTGGCAAAGGTGAGAAGAGAGAGACTGCATGCCTTTGTTGCTGTTTTTGTTATATTTTTTAATTAGTATACTTAGCATCTTCAAATATTACTGACCAGTTTCCATCTTCACTGTATGTCACCTTTATTTTGAATAGTCAACCAACAACCAACTGTTCTTGAATCTTAAGAATGTGGATCAAGGGAAGCGAGGGCCTCTTGTGGACTACACAGGAACGCTGCCTGCTGACTGGAAACATGGAGGCTACCTCAATGAGCTTGGTATAGAAATAAAATAACCAGTTCTCTGGAAGAATTTTAGCAAAAAGAATATTCATGCTCTTAATGTTTTTCTGCTCTACTGGGGACAAGTTCTTAATATGTTCAGTTAATTAATAGATGACAGAGTGCTAAAATCTTAGTAGTCGGTCAACATGTCAAATTGTTAAAATTGCTCTTCCAAGAACTTAATGTTTCCTCCTCCAGTGTTTTTATTTATGTTCCTCTCCATTTGAACAGGGGCATTTGGAATTGATAGAACTATAGGAAAATCTCTGAAAGGTAAGTTTGTATTTTCCCACGGATGTAAATGCTGGGGCCCAATGAATGGTCTCAAACTTTCTCATGCTAAAGCATCACTAAAGCCAAGCGGGTGTGGATTTGCACAGTCCTCTGCATGGCAAGCCAGTGGGAGCCCTGCTTAAGAGTTATCTATAAGCGTAATAAATAATGACCTCAAAATGAATATATTACATTAATTCACACCCATGAAATAATTCCATGTTTCCTCTTAAGAATTTTTTGTTGTTGCATTATCCTGAATTTTTGAATGGATAGAAAACAAAGGCAAAAATGGTACCCCCTGGTTGCCCTTTTCTGTACTCATCAGCCATCCTAAGGGCACCATCCTGAATTCTTCCTCAGAGTGGTTTAGGATGGCAACTAAGCCCCTCTCCAGCATAACTTGAAGAAATGCCAGTGCCAAGCTGCACTATGGACTCTGATACACTTGCTATGCTCTCTGCACCTTGATGTGTGGTCTTTTGTTTACTTTCATCTCCTCTACTGAATCGGCATAGACTAGCATTGCTGAGACTCAGCCAATATTAGAGAGAGTGGACAGAGAGAACTTTTCTCCCTTTCCCCAAATACTAGAACTTGGAAGCATCCAATGAAGCTGATTGGCAGTGTATTCAGGATAGACAAAAGGAAATACTCCTTTTAACTAATGAGTGATTAAAATGTGGAATTAAGTTTCAGAGAATGTAGTGATGGCCACAAACATCAGTGGCTTTAAAAGGAGACTAGACAGATTTATGGAGGACAGGTGTATCAGTGGCTATGACTAAAGGAACTAAAGGAAACCTTCACATTGATATGAGGCAACATTAGGGAGAAGCCTCAGCTTCTATGCTTTGTTTGCCCTCCACAGTAACTGGCTGGCCACTGTGTGAGACAGGATGGTGGACTAGATGGACTGGGTATTTGAATGATTATTCTTGGAATCCTTACTCATAAGAACATCTAATTTAGTACCTTTGCTTGCTGGCAAAAAGGTTCTGGAAAGATAGAATGATACTTTCACAAATTTATTCAATGTATAGGGTTATTCCATCATAAACATTTGTGTGTGTGTGTGTGTTTTCAGATCTAGTGAAGAATTCTGAATACAACTTAAGTAACTGCTCCTTAAGCAGCTCTGAAAATCCATATGCCACCATTAAAGATCCCCCAGCACTTACACCAAAAAATTCAGAATGCGGATATGTTGAAATGAAATCACCAGCACGCAGGGACTCTGCCTATGCAGAAATTAGTAACTCTGCTTCAGCCAACAAGAATGTCTATGAAATTGGTAAGTCTGAATGGAGCATTTACTGTGATAAGGAAGCCTTGGCCCCAGTTTCTAAGTCTGCACCTAGAGATTTTACTTTGTGGTCATTTCAGCAGTTCATATACCTCCTTCACAATGTGAATAGACACATCCTGGACAAACTACACAAGCAATTTAGGGTTTTTTTGCAGAGGATTGCTGACGTGAAAACAAACAAAAACATAGGTTGCATTAGGTTAGTTAAACTAGTGGAGACAAATCAGTGTGGTAGACAACAGTCAGATTAATTATATCTTTGCATCTTTAGATGCACTTCACTTGTTCCTCTGAAGAACCCTTTTCCAATCAGCAATTGCCCATTTGTGTTTTTTCCCCTGAAAGCAAGGAAAGGATTTAGGGAAGGAGCCCCATTTTAAGAATTACTGCTACCTTATTCTGTTCCTTAAACAATAGTGATGAAATTAATAAATAAGAATCTAGTATGGCAGCACAACTAATATACAAAATATAGATCTGGGAGGTTCTAGCAGGGGAGCGCAGCTATCATATACCCTTGACCAAAGAATGGTACACTCCTTCTATCTGGGATGGTCGTTCTCTTCGACCAAGCGCGCAGCTTCAGGAGGGACACACATGGAGTGGTGAGGGAGGTAAAGGACACCCGCCTAGCCAGCCAGATCAGCCAAATCAACCCTGGCAATCAATGGGGTGACAGATGTCACAGCCAAATCACCCTCACATTTACAAAGTATGGATGAAATTTAATGAAAAGCCTTATAAACTGTTATTTGTGATCACCATCCCCTATCAACAAACACTCAATTTCATTGTAGTAAAAACAGGTCCTGCATCTCTGCTTGTTTATATATGTGGGTGGGTTGGTGTGCATATCTATATACATAAACAGAGTAAGAGGTCTGTTTTAGTGTTTCAACAGTTTATTTAATACCACAGTAAGAACTACTGGGGAGGGATGAGATACCCTTTTTTGTCTCAAAGACTAGACTGTTAATTGTTACTGTAATGTTGTGATTTTTCCATTTTTCAATATCAGAGCACTAATATGTGTGTTTTTTTCCACTGTAGAACCTACAGTTAGTATTGTCCAAGGAGCATTTAAGAACGGACCTTTGAGCCAAGATCTTTATGATCTACCAAAAAACAGCCACATTCCCTCCCATTATGACCTGCTGCCTGTTCGGGATAGTCCTGTGTCTTCTGAAAAAGATGACAGCAGTGAATGACAGTGAAGATTTTAGACCACAGTGGAACTCTTACAGAGAACGGGGACCTAGTTATACTCCTTCCTATCTTTTGCCATCTGCATTCAGTAGATGTTTTACTGTATATTAACCAGGAGTGTCAAACTATGGCTTGCATATACACATGGCAAATGGAAAGATGCCGAGCTGGGAAGACCCCATCAGATGTTCCATTGCAATTACTTTTTTAAAGAGAGAAACAAATGCCAAACATGTATATTGCAATGTACTGGTTAAAAAGTATGAGCTTGCAGAACAGTTGTAGTGCCTGCATTGCTGTGCCTCGCAGAGGATGGCTGGTTCTTTCAGTAGCTTGACTTGCATAGTTGACATGCAGCCAAGACTATACAATCTACCAAATACTCACTTAGCCAAGTCATCTGACTTACTAGGTACTTCAGAAAAAAAGAAAAGAAACTAATTTGTTATTACTTTTTTTCTCATGTTATCATATATTCCCAGTGGATTAATGTTGTCCGTGCACAAGACATGTAAGGATATTCAGCATGTTAGAGGATAACTGACTGCAGTACAGGAGAAAATTATTAAAGCCAAGACAAGAGATTTACCTCATTGCTGGTAATGGAGTTGTTCTGTTGACATTGTTTAGAATGCAAGGGAAGCCTTGGATGAATATACCTAAAGAGTTGTGATGTAGTGGGCTTTGGCATCAATTGTTGCCAAATTATTGGCACTTTTAAGACTCAACAGTTCTGGGTACTATTTCTGCTATTCACAAGTAATAATTCATAACATATCAGTAATTGCTTCAGAAATGTCAGTATAATGGAATTTTTTTGTCAAAATGGACTGAATAAGGATGTTAAAAAGTACAAAATGTAGCATATGCTGTACATTTGAAATGTAAGAAATGGGTTTATAAACAAGTAGCACTATTATTGTAATATGGAATACGAGTAGTACAATGTTTAATTATTTGCCTGAAATCAACTGAGCAGTCTTGGTGCATTAATTGTTACAATGGCACCTTTTCTTTTTATAATTGATTTAGAGAAAATATGCTTAAGCTGGTCTTTCGCATTGCTAATAACCTGGCACACTTACTCTACATTTCATTAACTTGTGTCTGTTTTAAAATGATGTAGCTATGTTTTTTAGTGTTTCAGAATAACAGTGCCAAAACATTATATTTTATGCCCCTTTTCTTTTTG